CCCTGCCTGTGCGCTCGCTCGCTCGCTCTCTCACCGTAGGTGATTGGTCCTCTCCAGTTTGGAGAGTGGTTTTGCGAAGCATGAGCCAGAAAGGCAACTTTAAGCCGATAGAGCCGATGGCTACAAGGATCTAATCTAAAAACCACACACAAGCGTCTGCCATTTAGAACTGCTTCATCGTGTGACCATGTTACGGAGGTGACACAAGCGTACCTCACATTTTGAGCAGGAGGTTGAAAGCCACGGTGAAAGCATTATCACTGATGTGTTCCATTTCCTTGATCGGGCCGCGCCCTCAAAGTTCACAATTTTAACTGCTTTCCCAATGCTCTGAGCCCACAAGTAATCACCTCCAGTATGTGCCAAGCATACGGTAAAGTAAAATGTGCCTGGGGATAAACATAGCTTGGAGACTTTAAAAGGGTTTTATTTCGTAGCCACGAAAGACATATGCCATTTGATATGCGTGTGTTTGTATCCTACATACACTGATACATGATTTATCTGCGTGCGAGCATGTCAGGCGTTGGACAGCTTAGTTTTTAAATGAGCAAACCCACCCAAGAATCCGATTCAGAACTGCTGCTTAGATCCATGATGGTCGTAAACTCTGCTTTGCACCTTCTGTGGGAAGTCCATCCTGTGGACCGCTGGGACCCTCGGCTGAGTAATTCGTTTGGGCCCGTTCATGTCCCCTGGTGTTCCTCCTTCCGAGATTAATCGAAGAGAACATAATCGTCTCTCTATATAAAGGCAAAACCCGAAGGTGAGGCAGAACCTGATCTCATTTCTGTCAGGTACCCGGCGACTGAGGTCTGAGCCAGATGGACGAGCCCTCGTTTTCATGGCTGCTCTCGTCTCCCCGCTTCCCAGTGGCCAGAAGAACCTTCTGTACCGGAGAGCCTGGAGCGTCACCTGCCCTCAGCGGCTTTGTGGCCATGCTCCCCCTTCAGCATCCGGTCCCAGCCCCCACGGAGGAGGGCCTAAGGTCTTAAGGGTCGTACTTCATTCCCTCGGAGCCAGCATTCTCGGGGATGGAGGAAGGAAAGCCCTTCCGGGTTTTAGAGCCCTTCCCCCAACCCTGAGCTTTAGGCCTGAGGGTTTGAGAAGGAGAGCAGATTGCGTTCATGCCCGAGAAGCAGGCTCCCACACCGGCCGCCGCATGCCTTCTCCGTGAGAATGCGTAAGTCCTAAACAAAGCCTTCCTCGTGGCGTCCAGAGCGCACAGCCATGCTCCTATAAGCTCCTGAGCGGCTCTCCAAGCCCGGCCGAGGCCTACAGCTGGAACATGCTGGTGGCCTCCACGTGATGAGAGGCAGAACAGGTCTTGGAGGCATCATCGGAAGACTTCCATTGACCTGAGACCCCCAGGTAAGGGAGGCAGCCAAGGTCTTTCACGAGTTTCCAGAAGTTCCTCCGAAACTTCAAGCCAACAAAGGCATAGAGCACGGGGTTAAGGCAGGCCCGCAGGTAGGCGATGGCCTCCGTCACGATGATGGCATAGTGGAAGCTGGTCATGGTGTAGTGCTCCCAGTTCGTGCTGCGGATTAGCTTCACGAGGTTGAAGGGCGTCTGGGTCAGCAGGAACGCAGCCACCACCAGGAAGATGACCTTCAGAGACTTGTGCTTCTTGAAGCCTCGGGCGCGAAGCAGAGTCTTGATTATGACCGAGTAGCAGACAATCATGGCGACCAGGGGCAGGAAGAACCCCAGTGTCATCTGGGTGGCGAGAACCACAGTGGAAATCTCCTCGTCGTGATAACCACAGACGAGCTTGTCGAGATAGAGGACGTGGCCATAGATTATCTGCGGCAGCGAAAGCAGCAGGGAGGCCCCCCAGATGAACAGACAGATGGCCTTGCCCCAGGCCATCCGCCTCGCCTGCTGGTTGTAGGCCTTGGTGGCCCGAGCCACCGCGATGAAGCGGTCAATGGTGACGCAGGCGAGGATGAGCATGGATGTGTAGAAGTTCAAGGTGTAGATGCCCAGCAGGGTCTTGCACAGGACGTCGCCGAAGACCCACTCGTGGATGCTCGCGTAGGCCCAGAAGGGCAGGGTGCAGACGAACACCAGGTCAGCCAAGGGCAGGTTCACCAGGAACACGTCCGTCAGGCTCTTCAGCTTCTGGTAGAAGACGTAGATGACCAGCACCAGCGCGTTCCCCGCCAGGCCACAGATGAACACCCCCAGGTACATGCAGGGCAGAAAGACCTTGCGGAACTCCAAGAAGCGTTCGTGCCCCCAGCTGCCGTCGCTGGAAGTGTTGAAGAAGCCGGGGTCCACGTAGTCGTACTCAGCCATGGCGTGCGTTCTGATGAACACCTGGGAGGCAGACACAGGAACTCCAGTCAGGGCCGAGGGGGACACCTCCTGTCCTCCCACAGTCCTGTTGCCCCACTTTTAGGGGGCGCGTAGTCATCTCCTGAACCCACCCACCTGAGTTCTGGTCAGTGGCAGCACATTCCAGTACCCTGGAGACAGCCAGAGCTGAAGGGCGATTGCCTGGGCGGGATGAGGGACCCTGAATGGGCCCTAAGATTCTAAGGCTGTCACCCGCCTCACAGACAACACATACCTGACCCGCATGCACAGTCCATAAAATCCTGTGCCAGCTGGCCTTGAAGGCAAAGGTCACCATGTGGTGGAGTGTGGGCATTGCCCCCCTGGAAGTGCAGAACTGCTTTCTTTTTTTTTTTTCACCTATTTTCATTTAATATTTATTTTTGAGAGAGAGAGAGAGAGAGAGCGTGCACGCACGCACGCCAGCTGGTGAGGGGCAGAGAGAGGGGGGAGACACAGAATCTGAAGCAGGCTGCGGGCTCCGAGATGTCAGCACAGAGCCCGATGCGGGGCTTGAACTCACAAACTGCGAGATCGTGACCGGAGCCGAAGTCGGAAGCTTAACCGACTGAGCCACCCAGGCGCCCCAAGAACTGCTCTCTCATGGTCAGGCCTGCCTTTGTCCGCCCATCCTGGGCCTCATTTTCTGTTGAATGAGAGCCCTGAGCTGCTAACTGCGGAAGCTAAGCCAAGTAGCCCCCCTCCCCGGGGGCTCCACCATTGAGGAGACTTCTGCAGACCAACAGGGGCTCGCGGGCTGACCCTCTCCCACCAGGGTAGACGGTCTGTTCTGTCTTTCCTTGCCCTTAGCTGCCTAGATTTAGGAGGTGGGGAGACAGGCATGGGAAGCCCCGGCTGCCCAGCACTGTGGCTGAGCTGGTCACGGCCGGGGAAGCGAGCAGCTGCCCTCCCAGCCCAGCCGGCCCCTCACCGCCCGTCACACGACCCTCCTCCACCGGAGCCTGGTTTCCTGAAGACTTCTTGATCCCCAGGACCCTCTTAAACGGAGCATCTCCCCAGAAGGGAACATGACTTTAGCTTTCGAGACCAGCAGTTTATGCCCAAGGGGTCTCCTTGAACAAATGGAAGGCCCGCCAGCGGGGGGCCAGCCTTGCAGTGAGGCAGGCCGCGGCCACCACAGCCGCCTTTCTTGCCCGGGGCTCCCGGCCTTTCAGGGCCGTCACTTCCCTCTGCCCTGTGACCCTGCCGAGGAGCAGGGACAGGACGCGAGGGTGACGTACTCGGGCGTGAGAGCAGAGGCGGCTACGGCAGCACCGGCCCTGGGGTGCCAGGTCACTGACCTGCAGAGAGCCGGCACACAGCGGCTCGTTTCCGGTGACCCAGGGCCATACCTCGCTAGCACCTCGAGAAGGCGTTTCGAGAAGGACAGGCAGGCATTTGGTGTAGCAAAGGCAGAATGTCAGCCAGCCGGACAAGGGCGTGTACAAGGAGAGATCACGTCTTCCTTTCGGATTGGCTTGAGGACTCCTTGTCCTGACTGGAGACGGTATCAGCCCTGCCGGTCCTCCTGGGAACAGAGTGCCCTTTCTCTGCAAGGAGGAAGCTCGCCTTGGGGTAAGACACCTCCGTGAAAAGCCCCTGCCCCTCAACCACAAGATGTGAGATCAGTAAGGGTGACAGGCCAGCCGTAATAACGCTACCCCGCCAGCCGTTCGGACTCCTGGGTTAAGTAGGTCAGATGATGTGTGTGTGTGTTCCTGCTTCACGCGGGGACAGAAACATCTTTTTCAGCTCTTAGCACGTGCACAGGCGGCTCTGCTCTCCTTAAGAGTAACGTCGCATCTCCATTATTGCCTGCCTCCCTCTTGCCTTTTTACAAGAAAATCCTCCTGGCGCTGGCATTACACGTTCCCTCAAAGGGCCCGTGCCAACTCGCTTGTGATAATTGGCAAACTTGCGTGCTGTGCCGACGGACTGGAAACCGCCCAGCTCTGTGCAGATTGAGTGGCTGAGAATGAGTTTCCCTTCCAGAAAGGTTAAGATCATTCATTTCTTTGTCTTGAGTAGCCAAAGCCCTGTGTTGATCTATGCAACTTTTTTTTTTTTTTTGAAGTAATACAGTATTCAGCTTTGGAAGCAGTGTAAAGGTCTGATAATAAACAAATCAGCAAGTTACCATTCAGACAGAAAATAGAATATAGCTCAAACTGTTTAGGTTTAGGAAGTGCTTTTAGTGAGTCGGGAGAAAGCAGTACGCTTAAATTTCTCATAACAGAGTAAGTCTGCACAATTAGCATTGGCTGTTAAGTATTCCAATGAATGGATGTCCAAAAGGATGTAAAATTGGTCATGATTCTGAACTTCCTTTGATCATAAACCCCTTTGAGAATCTCCTGAAAGCCACAGACCTTTTCCTCAGATGTGCAGATATCTTAAGTAGGCTCCACATCCAACGTGGGGCTCGAACTCACAACCCCGAGATGGAGAGTCGCACGCTCCATGACTGAACCAGCCAGGCACCCCAGTTTTGACTCTATGTTCTAAAACATTAAAAAAAAAAAAAAAAAAAAGCCCAGGATTGATCAGCAGCTTGCGTCTGGCTGTGGAGTCGGGGCTGACTTCTTTCCCTTCCCCCTAAGTCTCTCCTTTTCTGAAGTCTCTGCAGTGGTATATTGACTTACCTTGAGAAAAGAAACTAGACAGCCGCCCGAGAGAGCAGCCAGTGTCGTAAATTATAATGAAGAAGAAACGAAAATGGAGATGGAGAGATTATTCCGTGAACAGATGTGGACAGTGGCCAGCCTGTCCTGGTCTCCCGGGGAGGGTACCCCCAGTGCCGTCAGCTTACGAGCACGGACTGTGCGCCCCGAACCACGCTAAGTTATTTCCACAATTCTCTAGTTGTGGGGCAAAGGCAGAATTCAGACCGAGAGCGGTCGGGCTCTAAAGCCCGGGCATTTACACGGTACTGCACCGCGGGCAGGGATCAGAGGACCCCAGCAAGCCGGGGTTAGCACCTGCCTTTTAACTCTAAAGAAGACAGATGACTCACCAGTGGAGAGGCGCTGTCGATGTGTTGCAGAGATGAGCGTTCACAGCACAAGGTCTGCCTCTACCTGTCTGTGATGTGGTCCGTGTTTCCGTTGAATATCTTCTGAGAGCCCTTGGTTGGTGATCATAAGAGACCCGGCCCTACCCCTGCCTCGTACATCAGAATCCACATGACCTGCCTGCACGCGCGTAATTTGGGAGATCAGAGATAGAGAGCAGCGGCTCCGATGCGCTACCCTCCCTGCCGCCTGGCTGTGGACGCAGTCATCTGTCAGGACCTGAGAGGGTTTCTGTTTATAAACCGAAGGGGAGCAGTAAGTAGGTCTGGCCCAGGCAGCCCACTGACGATGGTGGCATTTGTACCGTAAGATTACTTCACTCGCTAGTCCTGTCCCTTTGGAACCGTTTGGGTCTGGACCACTGCAAAGTGCGTGCCGTGGCCTGGGTTCTGGATATGCTTGATAGCCACTGACCCCCACTCAAAAAAACGGCAGCCCTGCAAAGTCAGTGCTGTCCCCATTTTATAGATGGAAACACTGAGGACCCCAGCCAGAATAACAGCCCTGCGTTACACAGCTAAAAACTGGCGCTTCCCGGATACAAACCCAGGTCTCTGGAGGTGTGGACTCCATTTCTGCTTTCCCAGCAGCAGACTCGCTCTGAGCCGCCAGGCCTCCCTCCCCTGACCCCGCACCGCGTTCAGCCCGGTCCCCACCGTGGCCGGTGCACGTCTGCTGGTCACACGGGCTCCTGTGGCTCTTCCTAAGGGCAGGGTGTCAGGCACTGGGAGCAGGGGCCAGGCACGGCCTAGGACCTAGGGACTAGCACTCAGCTCCACTAGGAGCCAGGCTCCGCGCTGGGTGCTTCTCACCTAGCCGTCCAGCCCTCGTCCTTCACAGATGAGTAAGCAGATGGGTCGAGAGAGGAGCTCGCTTGCCCGTGACACTCCTGTCCCCCGGAGCCGCCAGGTCACGAGGGTCCGTGTGAGCGTGAAGCTATCCGGGGCGGGGGGGGGTCCCAGCAGAAGCTTGGGAGACCGCCAGTGGATGTTCAAGGCCTTTTGAACGAACTAGTTCAAACGCTCCCGCCACACTGGTACACACGAACGAGATGTTCCCCTGAGGGCAGGAGCCGGGAGGCTATGCGGGGTGTCTGCCCCTGGGCAGACGGTGGGGGGACACGGGCCAGTGGACGGTGAACGAGCTGAACCAAACACCGCAGGCGAGTGGGGCCAAAGCACCCCTCCTCTTAAAGAGGACTTTTACGGCAGACATCCCTTCAGAGTGAGCCAGCCTTTCATCTTGGAACCTTTGGAGCTCGGAGAGAGGAGCTTCTTTCCCCGGGGACAGGCCAGCTGTGTCGTTTGGGACCAGTCCACAGAACAGAGAACAGCCTGAGCCTTGTCAAGCACCCTCAACGCGGCCATGCCCTGCTGTCTCGGACGTGCAAGCGTCTGCACCCCGTGGGAAGAGACAGGGCTCACCCCGGTGCTCCCCACCACCGTGCGCACGCTTGCTGGGGGGGCAGGTATTTGAGAGGGCACGTCGTCACCCTTCACTAGGGGAAAGCTCTCCAGCGAAAGACGTGCAACTGAGCTGGAGGAGGGAGCCGCTCACAGCGTCGGAGTCGGGGCGTTGCGGGGGAGCGGCACAGAACCTTATTTCAACCACTTTACAAAGCGCCTGCTTGGAACTTCTTGTCTGCCGATTTGGAGTGCTCTTTGTTTTGAAGGCCTTCCTTTTCTCTGAAACCAAGCTCTAAGCATTCTTACGAGCAGACACCCAGGCATAGGTCCTGGACTTCTCCCTGGAATACTGAAACGTTTTCTAAGAACTGGGGGAAGGACAGACGGAAAGCAGCGGCCGCGCCTGCTGCAGATCTGTCCTGGAAGTCAGCGCCGACCTGCTCGCTTTTCCCGGGCACCTGACGTTCCCAACCCAGAGCCCGGGGGGAGTGTCCATCCCAGGACCCCGGAGTGAGGCGGTCACTGCTGCTGGCAGAAGTCTAGCTGCAAAGCACTGGCGGATGACGGGGGCCGTGGAGGATGAGTTAGGACTGAAAGCCTCAGAGAAATAGCCCGAGCAGTGAGCTGGGAGCGGCGTGCCCGGTGATGCCTGGCTCTTGGTTCTGCGGTTAGGCTTGCGGCTTTGGGTGTCGCGGTCGGACCGCGGTTACTAAGTAATTAGAAATCAAAATACCAAGTGTTCTTCATCGCTTGGTACTTGGGTGAAAAAGGAAGCCACTGACTAAAAGGAAAACTACTGGGAATTTACTTTGAATAGTAAAATGTGGAAATGCCCCCGGGTCCCACACTGCGGTTCCCCGCGCAGCTCAGCCCTGTGCTGCAAGCCGGTGCTGTTCACGAGCATTGTCTGTGAGGACGGACGTGTCCTGCGTCCGCGCTGCCCCCACACAGTGGCCGTGGGGCACCTGAAGTGTGGCCACTGCAACCAAGGAGCCAAATTGTTGGCGTTTTAAAATTTTTGGTGAGTTTGAGTTCAAATGGCCCCTTGAGGCTGGTGGCGGCTGAATTGGGCAGCACGTCGTAAGCAGAGAGCCGTCTCCTGACCACAGATAGAAGCTGGCCTGGGGACTGTGGACCCTGGGTAATCGGGCACAGTGAAAAGGGCTGCTTAGCGAGGCTAGGAAGGATGTCAGCAAGAGACTTAGGCCACGGGGGGCTTTTCAGGCACCCTTGCCTTCCTTAGTCCCAACAGCCAGAGGACCTGCTTCCCCAGGCAGCTTGCAGGATTGAAATTATACAGTAATTAAATGAAAAGGCAGGCATTTTGATTTGTGAGCGGAAACTATTGTAGAGAACCAAGCCGGGGGGGGACCCCACCTGTGACCCCTCACCCAAGCAGGCATGGACCCCTGGACTGCATTGGCAGGGATTTCCTCACCGTCCGCTGGTCCCCTTTATTCTTAATTTGGTTCTAGAGTAGAACCTTGGTCATGTCCTCTGTTGGGGACATTTGGGACAGAAACCAGCTTACCCAGGGCACACAGTCTAGACATTTATTGAGCATAGACTGGCGGGGCAGGACCCCCAAGGGACGCCAAGGTGACCAGCCCCAGAGGGTGGAACAAGTTGACAAACAGGTGTGCGTGCCTGGAGCCAAGTTCAGCTCTCCCGACCACAGGCTCTGGATGGAAACTCAGCGGGAGAGGGTGACACGTCGTCAGCGGTCACCATAGCTAGCAGTGGGCTCCTGTGGCCAGAGCAAGGAGAGGAGGAAGGGCCTGTGGGCAGTGAACTTGTCTCCTCTGAGAAAAACATCGCAGTGGCAACAGAAGGAAATTGTTCTGGGAGGAGTTAGGGTGCCCCCTAGTGGCCTTGCTTTTGTTCCCCGGCATTCTCAAGCTTGTTTGTAATCCTCCGATTTAATTTTAAATTTTGTTTTAATCCTGATCTAGAAAAGTCGCTTTTCTACCGCACCCCACAGTAAGAGACACGTTTTACAGGACCACCCAAGGGGTTGCGTGCATGCACAGAAAGGCAAAACAAGAGCCTCGTGAAACAGTACTAACCCTTACAACGTGCGGTATACTGTTGCATTGGTACTTTTTTTAAAATTTTTTAATGTTTATTTTTGAGGAAGAGAGAGAGACAGAGAGCACGAGTGGGGGAGGGGCAGAGAGAGAGGGAGACACAGAATCCGAAGCAGGGTCCAGGCTCCGAGCTGTCAGCACAGAGCCCGAGGCGGGGCTCGAACCCACAAACCGTGAGATCACGACCTGAGCTGAAGTCAGACGCTCAACCGACTGAGCCACCCAGGCGCCCCATATTGGTACTTTCCGTTCACGTTCTGCCAGCGTTGGTCA